TAATTTATTTAGCGTTTAAAGCTGGATACATTTAACGTGAATAATGAAGATTGTAGTGTTGGGAACGAAAAGGGGTGTTTCGAAAATACAAATAAACAATGAAATATTATATCTATACTATATCTATACTATTTTAAATTCATATCAGTTACTAAGGTAAAAACATAAATTACTTCATCAACATGCTGGACATAGGCCTCTCGTTAGAAAGGAGGTTTTGGCCTACTGTACCACGCTGGCCAGACGGGCTGGAATAGGTATTTTTTTCAAGCTTTCCTTCTTTGTAGTGCTGTTGGCCTGCGCAGTTGGTTTCTATAGTCGGCTTTAATGACACCCGCGGGATGAATAGGGGTGACGACACTTCGTATTCTTAATCTATCGATACACGGACTATTACGAGTACATACTTTTACGACTCCTTGAAATGAACAAACACAGGAACTAATCAGTTTGTTTGGAACCTATTTATGTATATTATTTGAGGTGCATTCTTATAAAACAAATATATATATTTAAAAATACAGTGTTATTCATTTCAGTCAAAATTTTGCAGTACAATATTGCCTTATTCGTCTCTCAATTAGATAATTTAAATAATACATTTGATCCCATTCATCGCATTAATCGCTGTTACGAAATTTCTTTCATATTTAATCTTTATATAATAATATTAATGTAAGATTTAATTACAGAAAAAAAATCATACATTATTATGTAAAGTATATCAAAGTAGTAAAGATTTTAAATAAAATAAAAACTAAAATAATTTTAAATTTCACGAATGAAGTAGCAGCCTGTATACACTCTGTAACGCCTTTACAAGACGAAGAGACGAGTTCGTTAGCGATACCCTGCAAGGTGAGTGACTTGTGTACTATTGTAAAATACATACATACAAAGATGTTCAAAGTAAATTCTACAGAAAATAATTATAATAGTATTTTAGAGCTATATTTATATGTGTTTAATTACTGATTTTAACTCAAGAAACTATTGTTAACATTTATTACATGAGGAGACCTGAAAATTACAAGATGTAGACAGTTAAGATAGTCTAAGAGCTGATGGCAAATTTATGGAAAGATATTTTTGAGGCAATCCGATAAAATGTGAATACAATACACACACAAACAAGCACGCGCGCACAGAACTGGGTAATTGAAATGAAGCTTATAAGTAACTTAATTACTTGTTTCTTTTTTTTTGTTTTTTTTTTCTTTATATGTCCATTTTTTTCATTGTATTGCTTCATATCTATGACATTCGGACCTTTATATTACGTGCGGAAGACTGTCTCCTGGAACACAGTTTAGACTAGCCCCGGAGTTGGGGATTCTCGAACATATGTATACTAACTTATATGTCAATAAATTATCATTATTATTATTCTCTTTATTTTATTAAATATACATATAAATTACATTTTTAAATATATTTATGTACAAAAGAAAATACATTAAAAAATTAAAAAAATGTGTCCTATCGGTATCGGGTACTGGGACCAACATGTCGGTGGTTAGGACTCCAGAGACAGAAACCTCCTCACAATACGTGCCGTATCGTAAAGAACTGCTTTCTGCATCAGGCCCTCAGTCCAAGTTAGGCACTCGAGCCTCTGAAGATGTTGGTCGAGGCTCTTAGCAATTAATCCATGGGCTGATATGACAATTATTTGTTTTACTGATGCAAACAAGAATTCCTCAGTCATTCTAAGATTTTGATAGTATGTTTATCAACAAAATATTGAAAATTAAATTAAAGCGCCAGTCGAATACAGTGGATATCGTAACATAAATAAACGTTATCAGTTACAGTTGTGAAGATTTTTTTAAAGTAGAAAATAATAATATAATGTTGAAAAAAATAGTTCACGTTCTTTATTAAATTTAATTCTATATAATATAAGAGGATAAAGATACTGGAATATGTGGCATCAGTGTCTAAGTAAGCTCAATCTTATTTTAATTTTCACACCCAGAGAAGGATTGTCGTCTAAAACTTTCCTAATACAGAATCAGACATTCTCTCTTTCGAAACAAAAGTCAGATAAAAAAATTGTATGATATAAATGTTCTACGAAGTAATAGCAATTGTAAACTTCAACAATACACCTAAGTACAAGTCTATATTTTGTTTAGGTACTTTATGATACCCGTAATAAATTACATTTGCATTACACGAAAAATGAACTAGTTAAAACCATGTAAATTGTTTTTCGACCTAGTAACAAATATTTATCGTACAGAGGACTTCCGATTAAACATCTTTTTTCACATTTTTCAAATTAATGTTACTTACCTTAACTGTTAAAACCTAGCTGAATTTTACACACTCATTCACCTGTAATAATTCATAATCGCGTTAAGCGTCGACAACAAACTTTTCGGTTGTGAGCTGAGTGTTGCTTAAAAATTGCCGCACTTATATTAAACAATTTTTTTACAAACTTTGAAATTCTGTTACAGTCTAGACTCTGTATAAAACAACTGTCAAGGGATTTTTAACTGTAAGTGTACCTTAAAATACATGTTTATGTATTAATATAAACTAATCAATACATTAAAATTTCATATTGAAATTGTGTAGTACCATAATCAACTTTGAAAAAAAAATGTAATTTTACATTATGAATAGGCAGTTTTAAAATCTTACGTAAACAAAAATAAAAACGTTGAAGATCATTCACTCTTTTCAAATATTTTTTTACTAAAATTGAATTTAGTTTTTATTTGCCTTCAATTAGCTAAATAGTAATTTCATATACTTCGTTGGCAGCCCAATAAATGAAAGAAGTAGACAAGAAAGATAATTCTTGTTTTTCCAAATTAAAATTTGAATTCATTTGTTTTGATGTAAAATTTGAAAATTTTCGATGACCCGGTAAAAAAAATCAAATTTTTAAAAGAAAATTATGAAGCAAATAAACTTCCTACATAAGAAGATATACATATATTTTATTAGGTTCTATAATACCTTGTAGGATTCGGGTGTAATTGATATCCGCTAAAACGCTCCGCTCTCATCAGTACTGACCACAAAACTTGCAGTACATGAAGTATCGATCAGCATTTCAGAGGTTTCCCACTGAATGCGGTTCGTTAGGTGTGTTAGTGTTTAGTGTGAGAGGCGTGCGTGCCTCTTGTTTCTTCTATACCGCACACCCTTTGCTACTGAGGTAATATTGAATCAAATAATATTTGATTAGGTAGGTACCCAGGTGTTATTCCCAGCTAGTCTTTTGTTTAGCTTAAGGATTTCAAGTGTTGTATCGTCTAGTTAAGTTGGGTCTTATTGATTTAGTAGGGTGCGGGTTTCGGCTCTTTTATGTATCTTATTATAATTGCTATTATTATCAACAACCAGAACTAATTAGCTTATAGCAACCGTATTTTGTTTTAAATATAATGGTACTAAAAGTATCCTGTAAATTGCAAATAAAGAAACGTATGAAAATTTCTAAATTTTCGTAATAAAGTGTGTTTAGAACTTTGATTGTAAAATAAGTGAAATAATATATGTACATCTAAGTTGTTGAAAAAATATAAAAAGTTTTTTTAGTAACGTATTTATAAATAGTGTATCTTAAAGTGATAACGACAATTTCTAAAAAAAAACGTAAATGATTACAGCTGTCCTTGAAACCTGTCAAAAGTTTCTTAGCATTTCTATTTCTAAAAACTTTAACGACGATCATATCCATTCTTTCTCTAAAACGTTTAAGATGTCGAATAAAGTCTAGCCAATTAATAGACACCTACGCATACTTCTAAAAGTTTAATTTGACAATTAACAACTGAATGTTAGAATCACCAGTTTCTGTTGTTTTCTACCAGATGTTGACATTCGATTCGTAACGAACGTTTTATACCGAAACAATCGTTTGGCAAAAGTATTATTTGACTTAACGCGGTTAAAATAGTAGCTTGACGAACGTTTCGTTTATTAGAATTGAGAGAGTACACTTACCCACCGCCTACGCTTAGTAACGCAATATTTCTTTAGCTTGGGTTAATCCTACATTTTATTTTTCTATTCTATTGTCAAGTGTCGTTATAAATAACAAAAAAAAGTCATTAGAATACTTACTTACATTATTGTGATTATGTATTATTTTTTACAATTATTTAAAATCAAATTTAGTGGACAGTCTAATTTAATTTGTTAATAATTAGCTAAAGAGTAATCGATGTCTTTGCTATTGATATCATTAATGCAACATTATTACATTGGTACTAAATGCGCTCCCTGAGTAACTGTAGTAAGTGTAGTAAGTAGTATGGATGTAGAATATTTGTTTTTGAAATTGTATATTTGTACAACACTAAATCTGAACTAAATATATGAAATATTACTTAACAGTTCCTAAATTTAATGGGACTTTTAGAGGAAGTCTAATATTTTTATTGGGATGAGGTTTGCGTCGGTAAAAAATCTGCCCAATCCATCCCTTTGTGAGAAAGGCATGCCTGGATAAACGTTTTGAATTGCTTTAACGAAACTTTGGAAATATTCAGTGTACGCACTATGAGCAGTTTTGTGGCAGCGACAAATTACTTTTCAAATGGTTTAGTTCGATTAATTTGTCTAAACTGTGTTTTAAATTCAAACCTTTTTATTAAACTTAAATGTAATTGATGATCCTTCCAAATACTTATTTTGCAATGAAATGAAATTTAAAATAAACCTTATTTAAACAGTAATAAAGAGGAATACAGTTTACTTACATTATGGTAGAGATTAAGGGACAATATCTGCAGGTTGCATTCAATATTGTAATGTGACGTAATTGTTTACAATAATGTAACATGTGTTATGTGTGGTGTTAATGTTCAGGCGGAACGACCCCCTTTTTTATATTTGTTTAGTCTGAATACAGAATCCAAAGAATTAATACAATTACGTACGACGTGATGACGTATGCCGCTTTGCATTGTTTTTACTAATGTTCTCTAGACTGTACTCTATTGAGACTTAAATGTATATGTGTATTTTTTAAGATTATGAAGAAAAATAAACTCAATAGCGGAGCTGATAAGAAAAACACAATAAAAGTAGAAGAGAAGCAATCGGAACAGTCTGAGCAGACCCCTGTTAAGGCTGATTCATTGGACGATGAAGAACAAGGTTTTGGTGGATGGTTGAGGTAATTCATAATATGTGTCCTGTAAACTCATTACAGATATTTTTGTAATGTGTCTGTTTATTAGGCATATTGTAATTTAAATTTTACAGTGTTTACAAATCTAGTTAAAAAAATTGCACGATAAAGCTATGTTCAGATAACAGGCGTTGAGGACGTGTTTTGTTTAGGCGCTTAAACGTGTAAATGAATTTTGTTCAAGCCGTCCACAACTCCACATAATATTATATACCTCATTCTTTATATTAATGTCTATATTTTGATTATAGCCTAAAATAAAAACGTATATTTAATGCAAGGAGCGTTTAACGGAAAAGTAAGCTTAGTGAATCTTTGATCAGGTTCACGTTTATAATAAACATATTACTATGAATATATAGGGATTAGGACAATAAATAGGTATAACATAACTTAAAATTGCTGATGTACCAAGTCGGTTGCACTAGACTACGGCTGGTAGGTGGACAATCCACTCATAACAACTTACTATATTAGAAATACTTCGGTAAAATATATTTAATTTTTTTATAATTAAAAATTACCTTGTGAAGGCTGACACCCTCAGATCCGTTAAGCTACATTAGCTTAAAATTAATAAAGGCCTAATAGTTGCTCTACTTCAAGCCTACATTTAGTTAGACAAAGTCTAAAATATCAAGAAAGTGTATTAAATCAACGCTCGTACCCATTCTAATATTTTGATCTCCATTTTTTGAATTTTCTAACGGTCAACGAAATCTTTCATAAAATAATCTCAATATTTTAGATACATAAAGTATTCTTGTTCAAATATTTGAGACAAACGTTGGACTAAAAGTGAAAGCAATCAAAGGAAATTGTTTGAATTCATTTCCTTCACAGGAATTATTTTGACGATCTTAAAATACGAATTTATATTAAAAAATATATTATAATTATTCAAGCTATAAAAATAATACACTGTATTTTGTATTCATAATTATGATTATATTTTACTTTAAGCCAAATATAGTGTTGAATTAAGAACGGCTATGTCACTTAAAAACGGGTTAGTGGTTGCTCGCACAATATAGGCTTATAGTAATTTAGACAGAGCGGGGCTCGTGACTAAGTAGCACAGGTTAGCACATTTCAAAGTCAAGCAAATGTAGCCAGGACTGTCTACGGAAGGGTGACCATTCTTAACAGATTGAGAACCCTCCGTGCCTCAGAGAGCACGTTAAGCCGGTTCCCATACGAACATCTATGACAATCGTTACGGATATTTGGAGCCCTAAAAGTTTGATAACAGTAAATGTATAGAACTTCGATATTGCCTAGTACTTGGGTCTTGTAGGTCACATGGCAGCCTGAAAGCCGGCCTCAACGGAAGAGGTCGATAATTTAGACAAAGAAAACAACTTAAAAGAAAATGGGTACTTATTAATCTGAAAATGTAGCTGGCATAATGCTACAACGTTTTTCTATTAAAGATGTGGCCAAAGTTGCATAGCTCTTAAAAATATACTGCTACTCGTATACTTTCTTACTTAGCGCTCAGAGGAAATTTAAAATTTAATGTTCGTTTTACACTGTCTAAGATTTAGATGCATGAAATTACTTACTAGGTTTTTCAACTAAGTTTTTTAAGGTTTTGCATAGGTTTTAAAATTTGAAAATGGAACTGTACTATACTATGGGACCACAGACGGGCCACCTGATGGTCAATAGAAAGAATGGTGTCACCGCGCTCTTAGTGCCCCCCAGAATTTTGCGAAAGGGGGGAGATTAAATTCACTCACTCTGTGCAAAACAACGAAATAATTTATTTACACCGGTTTCCTATAAGGCCGTGACAGCACTATGGTCGACCCGGTCCATATATGCCAAAGCATGAATCTTTTAAAATTATGTTACAATTAATAATAAAAAGAACAAATTTTTTTATTTATATTATTAATTTATAATAATATAATAAAGTAATAATTCACATAAAAAAAGCACCAAAGAAAATTGTGTAACAATAATCTTAATACTCGTAATAATATAGATTTCTTTGACGAATTGCTTTTTTTATTGATTGATTGTGTTTAACGACATATGTTAATGCTATTAACTTAATTATGTAAAAAAAGTGTTACAGCCAATCTATGAATTTATCCAATAGTATTTCTTACTAGTAATGTTTTGATCTTGTTTTTTATATTTTCAGATCGTCGGACGGCCTGGAGACTATGAAATTATTTGTAATAGCAAACAGTATCGTGATGCTCACAACGCTCGTATACCCACACATCCAGGTTGTCTTCGAGATCGTTTCAGAAATGATTTTTGGTACGGACCTTGTGTACGAAGATTGAATTGATAACGTGTATGCATAAGAACTCTCAGATGAGTTTTTGAGAGTACTTTTAGTTAAGAAACAATTGATATCTAGTTTTACTGCAAGTTTTAAATAAACTTTTGTGGTACTTCTGATAATTTTGTAAAAATACTTCTAGGCCTATGCCTATAATTACTATGTATTATATACTTATCTTGATTTTGCTACCGAGATTTTATCTAATGTCAGTTTTATAATTTGGTAGAAAAATATACCTTTAGCAGAACCGTGAGTAGTTAATGTCATAAAATATATATCAATAGAATATATAATAGAAATCTTGATTCAATTGAATATAATATAATCGACTACATTTTGAAGATGTTAGAACAGTGTGCATTTTAATATAAAGTAAAATTTAGTGTTATACTTATTAATTCGGGTGTCAATGAGTGAGAATTTGAACTAAGTAGGCATATGTTAAAACAGTCATAATTATTTAATCATATTGAACAATTTTTAGATTTATTTATTTATTTAAGAGTAGTTCCGTAAGTTATAATATAATTTTCTTAAGCAATTGTTTGTAAGAATATTATTATTGATTTATGTATTTGTAAAACCAACATTTTCTTTACTGTAACTGTTCCAGCTGTTTTTATATACTATATAAATTCTGAAGATTAGAATAACTTGTAAAAAATTACGATAGCCATAAACTTTTTATCACCATGTTGGGTTTATTGTTTAGAATGGTGTTTTCGCTAAGCGTACTAATTTGGTATTCAGTTAGTGTTTGGAATATGATATCAGATTATTTTAATAAACAATTTCATCGATTTTTATCAAATGAAACCGAATATGTTGAACATGAAGAATTGTAATTTTATCAAGTAATAATATTTTAAAATAAATTATGGCGTTATGAACTAAAAACGTTCTTGTTTTAATCTAATCTTAATTTTTTGTTAGCTCACGCAAACAATAATTTAATATATAATTAAATTTGTAGTGTTGAGAAATGCCAAAGTACCTACAGTATAAAGAATTAGAATAGAAAGTACAAATATAAATCTCGTTATATCGTTACTTCGATCGATTTTGGGCTTCTCCTTCCAGCTCCTGCCAGCCTTATTGCGCAGATCGTCACTCCACCTGGGACCACCACCACCACCTCCACGCAAGGACTCGTTTACTCCTACGGTTGTCGGTTCTGCGCTTAATATGGACAGCCCACTGCCATTTGACCTTGCTAATCCGGTGGGGTATGTCGATGACCTGGGTTCTCTGCCTGATCACGACGACGATCCCTTAGTGAAACGCCTTATGTATCACTAAGTTGTTATTAAAATGTAGTTTGTTTGTATGTTTTATGATCTATTAGAGTTTGCGCATATTTTAATAAAAGAAAACAACAGAAATAGTTCGGATTAGACTTTGTATTGATATAAATACAAAATAAAAGGCAAGAAACAACACAAAAACATAACATCATTAGAAGTTTACACCAGTCCAATTTTAGTTTGCAAGCGTTACACCGAGGAATGAAACCATGACAAAACAGTTTAATTTTAAAGTGTAACAATTTGTATTTAGAGTATGCGCTAAAAGTCAATTACTTCTAAACTCTTTTATTTTTTTAAATTTAATGTGACCCTTAAAATACTAAGATAAGATTCCCCTAAATTATTCCTTTAACACCTTTTTTTAGGAAGTTAATTTTTCATTCATATCACCAACCTTCGTGCGTCGTGTTACCTGTTTATTTCGCGTGATAAAAGTTACTTCCAATTTTATAGTCATACACGAATTCCATACAATTTTAAAAACAAACGTAAATATTACATAAATTATGATTATCAGTAAAATACCCGTATCTAAACTAATTTATGACATTTGGTCATGCAAAGTTACAATTTTGAGCACGAAATAGACGGCGTACTTCATATGGTACTTCAGTAAATGATTTATTTCCGTTTTTACTGAGAGTTACCAGTTAATTTATTACTAGGCGTAAAGGTCCCCAAGTTATAAATGAAAGATATTATTTAAAAGGTTTGAAAGTTTATTTGCAGTTTAAAACTGTAATGGTATATGTCGTAATTATTATTTTATGATGTTAAATAAAAATGTAACCTGATAACTTCTAATATCATCAAAACATCAAGGTTCGCTCTTGTGGTACTTGGCATATAATAGTAATTACAGTGGAACGTTAGTTGAGATAATTAATAAAATAATTTAAAATACATTACAAATATCTGCATTTATTATCATGATCAAATCCATCAAAGTATATAGTAAAATACTAGACTGTATGTTAAACTTGTGGTAGAGATAAACCCAACTGTGGCTTTGCGCAGCTTTAAAGAAGAAAACTTTTTAAATATCTAGATTCCGTAGTTAAAAAGGTTTGTGCCAAAGGTAGATTAAGTTCTTTAGATCTACCTATCTGTTACATCAAATTAAAAATTAAAAACATATTTTATTTATTTATTTATTTATTTTACTTTTGAAGAAGGCTTACAGACTAATAAATTTATGGTTAATACAAATGTGTGTTCATGTTGCTAACAACAAGCCTCCATATTCACAAACAAAATACGACCGTATTGCTTTTCATTCATTAAATAATCTCAACCTTCAGTCTTTAATAGTACACTGCTGGACATAGGCCTCTCAATAGAAAGGAGTTTTGATCTACTATACTACGCTGGCCCACCGTTTTTTTTTTAATGGTAAATTTACGGTTACTTAAAAAAATGGCAATTAAATAAAATGGATGTCATGCCTTAGTATAGAAATAGTGATATGGTGAGACAAAAAGCATCCAATAAAATTATAGCAGGCTTGGTTTGACTACAGAACTTTTAATTACAAAAGCCATTCTAATCCAATTTAGATCACATCACAAGGGCCTTTTTAACACTACAAAGAAGACACAAAGGTAGAAATTGACACTCAAAATCAAATAACAGCTTAGTCGATAAAAGTCAAACTTTAAAGCAATTAAGTGAGTAATAATTGCGTTTAGATTTCTAGTGAATAGGAGTTTGAATGTACCAAACTTCATTTAATTAAAAATATCTTATAAAGATGGTTATTTAAGCAGTCAACGTATCGTGGAATTCTTTTTACGCCTAATAAGTTTTTACGAGTGTTACATTATTATCAATTTGTAATAGAAGATTCAGATATCAATACAAGATTAGTTATGTACCTAGTAGCATAGTTTAGCATATTTTTAAAAAAACATTACTCATTTTATTAATATGGTCTCTTGTATGTTAAAAGTTGTAAGACAATTGTTATACATCAACTATGAAACTGTATCCTCATCATTGTACTACGATTTTATCAAATACCTAATACGAGTAGTAGAAAAAGCGAGTATTGCATCTAAAAAGAATTACACGATACTGTGACTGCTTAATACCTAGATACCTTACCTGTAGTATACATCGGTACGTAGATAGATGTTATTAAGAAGTGGTGCTACTACTCATTTTACTGCGTTTTATAACCAATTTTTTGCAGGTAAAGGTATTTTCATAGATAAGTAGCTTTAATACTAGTGGAGTTATATCTTAAAAGTCTTACAGGTATTTAAATAAAAAGCCAACGTGTCTAAATATAATAAATCTACATTTCTCATATAAGTCAAGTACCACGCATATTGTAAGCGGCTTTCTACATGCAGCTGTAAATAATACAAATTGTTTATGCTCGCCAAATATTTAGCCTTTAGGTTAATGTGCATTTTGCTCTTAAATCGATACTTACAGGTTTTCTTCGTAGTATTGGCGCCAGGCCAAATGCACTTGCATTTCGTACCAGCTCCGCGTCGCCTTCGAAACAATTTATTTAAACAACTAACTGTAAACTAATTAGTTTACTTAAGGTAGCAAATAAGGAACACTATATATTTGCTACCTTTAGTAAACTAATTAGTTTAACTAGTTTACTAAATTATAATGATAAAAGTAAATTGATCTCAAATATACTATGAAGTTTATGTTCAGTTCCTGGTGCTTAGTTATTTCTTCAGGCAATGATTAGTTAATAAGATTTTACGGTTGATTTTTCTAAATTCTTTTAAAAAATAAATAAAGAATGGTTTGATTTAGCGATAGAGGAATACCTACATGTGAGGAATACTTGTACAATTTCTCTTGATTTCTAACACGTTTTAAATTTGTTTTAACATATCAAACGTTACCTAATAAAAACTAGTTGAACTCTTTATCAACTATTAATTCTGCAGTGACAATTCTTATTTTAATAAATACATTATTCCATGTGTGTGTATGTATGTAACATTCCAATACTTAGATAACGTATGAAATTAAGTCATAGCCACAGCAGGTATTATCGCTACGCCTAATCAGGGATTTTGATGAATTTCGCACATTGAACTTATACTCAAGCCATTAAACCGGTTTTTTTAAGACTCTTAAAATGTAAGTTGTAATCGTGTAAATGGCCATGGCCAGCGTGGTATAGTAGGCCAAAACCTCCTTTCTAAGAAGAGGCCTATGTCCAGCAGTGGACTTGTATAGGCTGTTGATGTGATGTGTGATGATGAATCATGTAAATGTTATATTAGTAAATATTAGATAAAAAAAATGAATGTTATGGCAAATTCATTGTCGCTGCAAAAATAAAACAAATCAAAACTCGGCGTCAAATTTAATCATGTAAATCTTGTGAATCGTTTAATGAGAACTTGAAAAGTTTTTTTTGAAATGTTAATTATTGAAATGAACAAATGCTTTACTTAAATTACAATGCCTCATTCCTCAAACAGTCATTTTTTTCTTACAAAAGATCGCATATATTTGTCTACCCAACTTTGTACCTACAAAACATTACAGCATTAAGCAGAATCAATAGGTACTAAACTTGCATGGCTGGCATTGCGCCAGAATCGTCTGTTTTCCATCAAGAAACACACAGAAATATATGTTCTATATTGCATTACTATCCCCGAAGATAACATTCTGTGTTCGTACACCGTGCATCAAGGAGTGTTTAACA